GAGTTCTGCTCCCTCCTTAGCCATGGAAGCTGCCTTGGGAGTCTCTGGACCACTCCCACTTTCTCAGCCTAACGCACCTCACAGAATTGCTGTTGGGAAAACAGGAGGAGGGTTAGCCATGTTTGCTGCCTTCCGTTATTTATAAAATTAACGAATAAATAATTTTTGGGGTGTGGCTAAGGGTTGGCAATGGCTTAAAGGGAATTTCATGTTAGTGAAGCCATGAGTAAATCCCTCTCCCCTGGGACTAAGGTAGCCCAGCTTGCCTCTGTACCCACTCGCCCTTTCCCAGCGCCCAAGGAGTCCTCCTTGCGGGTGGCTGTCTGGTGTCTCTGAATGGCCGTCTTGCCTTGTTAGGTCCTCTGGGAAGACGAGAGAGCTCGGAAGGGCCTGTCCCAGAAGCAGTCCTTCGTGGACCTGGGCTGTGGAAATGGACTCCTGGTTCACATTTTAAGTAACGAGGGGGTAAGTCATTTGGGCAGCATTGGTCAAATCACGCTTTTCTCTGACTCTTCCCCCCCCCCCCCCCCCCGCCGCTCTGCAACGATGTCCCACCTCCTCCTTGTTATGGCAAGCAGCCACATAGCGATGTCCCCCCCCCCCCCCCCCCAATCGGTTGGTCCCCCGTGGCTGCTGGCCCTGCCAGGCCTCTCCAGCTAACCTGGGTTTCCCCGGCTGGGGGCAGTGGCACTTCTCAACCTTTGCCACAAATCCTGGGTGTTGAAGTCCACACCTCTTACGGTAGCCGAGGCTGAGCCTCTGATCCAGATGACGCCTCCTCTTTCCAGAATGGCTGGGTGGTTTTTGTTTTTAATCAGCTATGAGAAGAAAAGAATGTTTGCCTTAAATGTTGGCTTAAATGAAAGGCTGCTTCCCTAACGGTGCTTCCTGTGTGGGCTCTTCCAGCATCCAGGAAAAGGAATGGATGTCCGGAGGAGGAAAATATGGGACATGTACGGCCCTCAGACCTTCTTGGAGGTAGGGTTGAAATACGGGTTTCTTTTAGCAATAGCAATAGGCTTCTGCTCCGGTGGCTTCTTCTGCCCTCCGCTCTGCAAAACGACTTTAAGCTGGAATACAGGCGATCCTCCTCTTACAACAGTTTCAATTACTGACTGCTCGGAAGGCAGTGAAAAAAGTGACTTGTGACCATTTTCACACTTACGACAGTTGTTATACCAGGGTCATGTGATCAAAATTCAGACGCTTGGCAAGTCATACTTATGACGGTCACCTGGGTCATTTGATCCGTTTTGTGAACATTATGACAAGCCAAGTCAAGGGGGAAGACGGAGTCACTTAAAAACGGTGTTACTAATTTAACAACTGCTGCGATTCGCTTAACAACTGTGGCAAGAGAGATCG